ACAACTAGAAATTCAAGAGAACAAATTTATCACTGGGGAAAATCCAAAATTAAAATTTGAAAAGCGCGGATACGGTAACAGCATTCGCACAACAACGCTCATCAACGAGATTCAATATCTCTCTGCCTAAGCCGGCAAGACAATGAGCTCATGGCTCCATGGTTAGAGTGTTAGACTCTGATCCCAAAAGTCGCGATTTCGAGCCTCGGGTGGTGGATCACTTAGGACTGGGTATGACTAGCTGACGATGGCTAATAAGCCAGTAATAGCCATTTCATTCTCCATTGTCCTTGACGGCAATATTATCTGCTCACACAAAAATTGTAGTAAACCCGAATTGTGAAAAAGCAGTATGAGAGGGACATTCAGAGGATAGCCTGCTGTCCAGTCTCCAAAATAAGCAACCACTTTAGCCTGAAAAATATCCTTCCTTCAAATATGGAATTTGACGAAAACGCCATAGGCTCACAGCGTCTTCTTGTGTTTCTTATAAAAATACGTTTAAATTTATTAGGGAATTGAAAAGTAGTCATTTTAACTAAGTGCGGTTTCTCCTGTCTCAATAGCCGTTACCAAAATTGCCGCTACCACTCAATTCCCTACTATAGCTAATATACCGGATAGAAAACAATTTTACAAAGAGCCTATGCCCAATGTTAAGGGAATTTAACTTTTAAGTAGCAGGTCGCGAGTTCGAGCCTCTAAGTTGCAGAACTTTGGAGGCGCATGCCACCTGCTAACGGCTATTAAACTTGAAACGACTGATTCGGTATCCTATGTCTTAGATGATAATTTTATTTTACCAAAGACAACCATGCCAATATGTAGACTGTCCCCGAAAATCGAAATGCCAAAATTTGAATTCCCTCCTTGGGTGACTTTTGGTTCCTGTTCACCGGCGTCTTCAACGAGGGCATTTATTTTTAAGCTTATCCACCGAATGGTCTCTTCAGCTGCCCGTGTAGCTTATGTCTTTTTTCAACTGACATTATAATACAGCGACACTGTAAGACGGTCAAGCAATTTGCTGATCGCAGCCTTGGTGAGGTCACTCACCTTCTTCACTCTGATCCAATGGCTGCGAAGTCTTCCCATATTATGCGCCCAAGCTTCCGTCAAATGTCTAGCCGCACATCGGCATATCCTTTTCCTAGCATGAAACCTTACGTGGGAAAAACGGCAATTGAGAAGTTGAAAGTCGGTCTGTCCTCATAACATATGTAGATATCGTGTAAACCTTGAACTTTGAGTATTTTTTTGACCTTTTACCTTACCTTCGCCATTGCTCTCCTTGAATGGAGCCATTTTAGATGAAACTTTTGGATATTACCTTCAAAACAAAGCATTTTTTTCTCTCTTTCTAAGTTGCAAGCACGTTGGAAGAATTCATTGACGATAGCCAGGAAAAGCTTAAAGAAGTCA